ACAGAACACACATTGTACTCATCACTGCATGGAACGTACTCTAAGACCAACCACTTACTTGGCCATATATCAAGCATAAGCAAATTTAAAAGAACTGAAATTTTACTGTGCACCTTCTCAGACCACAGTGGAATAAAAATAAACATTAACACCAACAAGGTCCTCCTCTAACCCACAAAGATATGGACACTAAACAGCATGATGCTAAACAACTCCTGGGTCAATGATGAAATCAAAACAGAGATTAAAAGATACCTGGAAACAAATGAAAATGAAGAAACATCTTACCAAAATCTCTGGGACGCCATGAAAACTGTAATAAGAAGGGAATTTATATCCCTACAAACGCACATGAAGAAAAAGGAAGGATCACAAATTATCAGCCTAACAAGCCACCTAAAAAAGCTGGAAAAGCAAGATCACAAAAACTCTAATTTCATCAGAATAATCCAGATCACCAAAATAAAAGCCCAAATCCAGGACATAGAAGAAAAAAAGATAATACAAAAAAAATCAATGAAACAAAAAGCTGATTCTTCGAAAGGATAAACAAGATCAATGGTCCCCTAGCTAGACTGACCAAGAAAAAGAGAGAAAAAGCCCAAATAAACACAATCAGAAACACAAAAGATGAAGTCACATCTTATCCTGAAGAAATATAAAAGATCATTAGAGACTACTATGTACACTTGTATGGAAACAAACTTGAAAACCGCAAGGAAATGGAGGACTTTCTGTCATCACACAACTTGCCTAGGTTGAAACAAGAAGAAATTGAGACCCTAAATAGACAAATAACAATCAAGGAAATTGACTACGTAATAAGAAAACTACCTACAAAAAAAAAAAATCCCTGGACCAGATGGCTTTCCAGCAGAATTCTACAAGACATTTAAGGAGGAGCTTCTACCAATCCTACTGAAGGTATTCCAGGCAATTGAGAAAGACAGAACTCTCCCCAAATCATTTTACGAAGCTAACATCACATTGATACCCAAGCCAGGTAAAGACCCAACAAAGAAAGAGAACTACAGGCCAATATCTTTGATGAACATAGATGCTAAAATTCTCAACAAGATCCTAGCAAACCAAATTCAACAACACATCTCAAAAATCATCCATCATGACCAAGTAGGCTTCATCCCTGGGATGCAAGGCTGGTTCAACATTCATAAAACCATAAATGTAATTAAATACATCAACAGATGTCAAAACAAAAACCACATGATTATATCATTAGATGCAGAAAAAGCTTTTGATAAAATCCAGCACGCCCTCTTAATAAAAACCCTCGAACAGCTAGGCATACAGGGAACATACTTCAAAATAGTAAAAGCCATCTATGAGAAACCCACAGCCAGCATACTCCTAAGGCAATCTACAGATTTAATGCAATACCCATAAAATTACCAGCAACATTCTTCTCAGACCTAGAAAAAACAACACAGGAATTCATATGGAAACACAAACGACCAAGAATAACCAGAACAATCCTCAGCAAAAAAAACAAAGCAGGTGGTATCACATTACCAGCCTTCAAACTTTACTATAAAGCTACAATAATCAAAACAGCTTGGTATTGGTACAGGAACAGGCATATAGATCAATGAAATAGAATTGAGATTCCAGAAGCAAAACCTCAATTTCTCAACCAACATCTTCGACAAAGCCCCCACCACCTACCACTGGGGAGAGGAGAGCCTATTCAGTAAATGGTGCTGGGAAAACTGACTGACCACATGCAGAAGATTGAAACAGGACCCCTATCTATCCCCATGCATAAAGGTTAACTCCAAATGGATCAGAGACCTAAATGTAAAACCTCAAACCATAAGAACCTTAGAAAAGGAAGGAAATACCCTCATGGAAATCGGAACTGGCATCCAATTCCTGAACAAAACCCAAAACGCACAGGTCATAAGAGAGAAGATAGACAAGTGGGACCTTATTAAACTGACAAGCTTCTGCAAAGCCAAAGAAACCATCAAGAGAGCAGGAAGACAGCCTACAGACTGGGAGAAAGTATTTGCCAACTCTAGGTCTGACAAAGGCTTAACATCCTGGATCTACAAGGAACTGAAACGTACTGAAAAGAAGAAAACAAACAACCCCATTATAAAATGGGCAAAAGATATGAACAGACACTTCACAAAAGAAGACATTCGAGCAGCCAACAAACACATGAAGAAATGCTCAACCTCACTAATCATCAGGGAGATGCAAATCAAAACCACACTGAGATACCACCTAACTCCAGTCAGAATGGCAATTATCAACAACTCAAAAAA